CTTCAAACGGTCAAAAGGCAATTTTTGTGCAGATATTTTCCCTCCAGCTGTTCCACACTATTCCAGCTGTCCTATATGGATATTTTCGACCTGAGCTCACATTTTTCTATGTATAGAGGGCCTTCTCTATTGTTTTCAAGGTTGGAAAAAATTTTGGAGTCTCTCTCTCTTGAACTTTTGTGTATACAAGTGTTAATACACTTCAAGTTTGCCTATCAACCCTTAACGAAAGTTGCTTATCTTTGGGCTAAGGTTACTTGGGACCCTTTTTGAGCTCTAGAAGGTGGTCTTGGCTTGTTTTGTTGCCTAAATTGTGCCTTGCCTTCAAGAGGTATAACTCTTGCTTAGATAGCTTGTTTTACTTACTTGCTTCACCATCTTTCTCTATTGTTTTTGGACTATTTTGGGCCTGGTTTTGAACTGTAAAAAGGTTTGTTTTTATGACCTAAAAATGGTGGTTTGAGGCCATTTTCAATTAAGGGGTGGTTCACCCTTCTTGTTTCTTTGCTTGTATAGCTTTTGAGCCTTTGTTTATCATCTTTCAAACCAAATTTTTTGGGCCTTTTAACCATTGAATTTCAAAGGTTTTTCAGCGGCAAAAAACTTACTTTGAGGTCCAAATTTGGAGTGGTTAGCCACCCCTCCTTATGGCTTGTTTGCATGCTTAGTTAGTTTCATATGTTAACATGTTTTTTTAGCTTAACTTAGCTCAAGTCCAGCATGTTTTAGGCTCTGAAATAACATGTTTTAGCTCTATTTTGGGCTGGTTAGTTTATTTGAGTCTTGTTTTGCATAGTTGTAATGCAACCCCATGCATTAGCTTAATGTTTTGGCTTTTCGTGGCTTAAGTCCAACACATTTTAGACCATAATTAGGGCTATTTTGCCTCTATTTTTGATCATATGTTTCGGTTGCATATTGGTGTGAGTCGGTTGCATGTTTTTTAGTGCTTTTATCCTTCGAGGGTTGTTTCAACCTTAGGGTTGTTTAAGCTTGAGGTTGAGGCTCATGCTTAATGGTTTAATCCTCCTTTGAGGGTTCATTACCAACGGCATGAAGCTTTCCTCATGCCTTAAACTACCCCTTGGTTGGCACTTCTTTCACTTTAGAAGACACTCACCAATGGACAAATAGATTAATGAATGGTTTGGTAATTAAAATGAGTAAACGAAATTGACAAGTAAAAAGTGTGCAAGATAAGCATTCTTTGTGTTGCATTGCATTTGTTCAAATCGGACGTTAATTTGAACACAAGGAAAATGGAACATTTCATACTCAAAGTGATGAAATGTGTCATTTTCCTAGGTCACCATTGCCCTTGATCATGCATGATAGGGTGGTTGTCTTTTTGGTCTTGTTTGTGCATTTATTGAACTTGTACAAACTTTGTCCCTTAGCCATCACGCATGGAAATTGCTTGATTGATGGTTTGAGGGCCAAGAGTTTCTCTCCTTTGAGCTTGTGTGATGATAAGGAGGGTAAACAGTGCAAACAACCTGTGAGAATACACTGTTTTGCTCTGTTTTTCTCTCTGTAGCCACCACCAGTGGCCGACCGGCCACCAATGATAGCCGACCGGCCCCTTGTCCCTCTTGTCGGCTATCAGTGATTTTTTCACAATATGTTGGTAAGATGAAGCAGAGGTGTTCTGGAAGTTGGTAGAATTTTCAGTGATCCAATGTGCAAACAGAGGCTCGCAGCAGCAAAGCAGTAGCTCTTCATGTGTGGAATCACTACAAGAAATAGCATCTTTGGCGACTAAAAAAGCACATTTGGTCGCTGAAAGTATAGGTTTTGGCAACTAAAAAAGCATTAGTAGCCAAAAGTAAAGATTTTTGGCGATTAAAAAAATTTAGTAGCCAAAAGTATAGGTTTTGGCGACTAAAAATCTATTTGGTCTTCGATATATGGCTTTTACCGTCCAAAAAAAATTTAGTAACCAAAAGTAAGGCTTTTTGGCGACTAAAAAGATGTTTTGTTGCCAAAAGTGAGGCTTTTACTGAGTAAAAAAATTTTAGTAGCCAAAGTGAGGCTGTTTGGCGACTAAAAATAATTTAGTAGCCAAAAGTGAGGCATTGGGTGACTAAAAAAATATTTAGTAGCCAAAAGTGAGGCTTTTTGGCGACTAAAAAGAAGTTTAGTCGCCAAAAGTGGTAATTTTAGCACAAGAATTAAATTTTTTAACGACTAAAAAATAATTAGTAGCCAAAAGTATAGAATTTGTGACTAAAATAGTCGTCAAAAGTTGTCTCTTTTTTTTCTAGTAAATAATTTATTTTTACATAAATTATGTTCAATAAAAAATAATTATCTTTATATATATGCTTTTATATTAATACGGGTCTATGTACTATATAAATAATATATGTTGCATCTATAATCATATGGTGTTATGGAGGCGTAGTGGAAAAAGGGTGTTGTATAAGGTTTATAGTGTCGGAGGTTGATGGTTTGAATCTCCCATATCTCCACAAGAGCATATGAGAAGTTAGTGAGTGTAATTTTTTTTTTTCACGAATGAGCTTTTGGCGACTAAAAGGTTTGGTCGCCGATTCCTTGAGTATTGGCGACTAAAGCATTGGTTGGTAAATAAATAATTTTAAAAAATATAATTGACGATTGGCGACTAAAACATTGGTCGGTAAATGTATAACTTAAAAAATATAATTGACTATTGGTAACCAAAGTTTTGGTCGCTAAAGACTTGCTCTTTGGCGACTAAACGTTTTTTAGTCGCCAATACCTTTTCCATCTGTTTTCCGGTGACCAAACCGGCGACTAAAAAATTTAGTCAGGGAAACTAAAAAATTGACTTTTGGAGACAAAAAAATTTAGTCGCCAAATGTGTTTTTTCTTGTAGTGAGTCGAGAATATACATGCATATCTATCATTTCCCGGGGCTAAGAAGTTGATTACTTAGTTTACTTGCAATTGACTTGTAATCCATTAATTAGCTAAGTAGTTAATTAGATGTGATGTAATTACTTAATTAGTTAACTAGAATAGTTAATTAGTTTTGGTATGTAATAATTATTTAGCTTAATTAGCATAGCTAGTTGGCTCTTATTCATTCGGACCCTCATTCGCGAGGGCATAATGTTGTAATATGTGTGCATGCGTGTGTGTATGTCTTTCAACCCCATGTCTTTCTCTTTTTTATTTAATCACTTTTGATGGTTAGATTAGGGCCATGTTTCAATTAGCATATCGCATGCTTGCATCCATTCATCTTGTATTGCATGCACCGAGGCTCGGTGCATCATTCAAACTGCATTATTATTTCAATATCTTATTTGAATACGTGTTTAATCACATGTTGTTCGAATCGATTCATATGCCACATTAGTAGCCGAGCCTATTAATTGCATATTGCATGTGTTGCATTAGACATCTTGTATAGTTAGGATCATGTATCTTTCTAAGTAGTTTCTATTTTGGCTTGAAGTACTTGGTGAGCTTTTTACGCTTTAGCATACTTGCATGAGTGCGATTGCCACATTGCCATGATTACACTACTACAAAAATAGTTAAAGATCACACTTTGACAAAAGAAAATATCTCACTTTTATTGAAAGTGTGATAAAAAAAATTAGATTGATATTTTAATCACACGTAATTTGATTGAGTGTGATAATATTTGTTTTTTATGTCACTTTTCAATTAAGTGTGATTATATATACATTTTTTTAATCACACCTTCTAATTAAAGTGTGATTACATATATACTATTACTTTTTAATCACACTTTTTAAATAAATGTGATTATATATATATATTTTTTAATCACACATTCTAATTAAAGTGTGATTATTTATATGTTTTTTAATCACACCTTCTAATTAAAGTGTGATTATATATATATTTTTTAATCACACATTCTAATTAAAGTTTGATTATTTATATATATTGTAATCACACATTCTAATTAAAGTGTGATTATTTATATATTTTTTAATCACACATTTTAATTAAAGTGTGATTATATATACCTTACTACTTTTTAATCACACTTTTTAAATGAGTGTGATTATATATATATTTTTTAATTACACATTTAATTAAAGTGTGATTATATATATATATATATATCTTTAATCACACATTCTAATTGAAGTATGATTATATATACACTATTACTTTTTCATCACACTTTTTAAATAAGTGTGATTATTTATATATATTTTAACCACACATTCTAATTAAAGTATGATTATTTATATATTTTTTAATCACACATTTTAATTAAAGTGTGATTATATATACACTACTACTTTTAATCACACTTTGTAAATGAGTGTGATTAGATCACACTTTAACAAATGAAAATATCTCACTTTTATTAGAAATGTGATAAAAAAAATATATTGATATTTTAATCACACTTGATTTGATTAAGTGTGATACTATTTATTTTTTATGTCACTTTTCAATTAAGTGTGATTGTATTTATATTTTTTAATCACACCTTCTAATTAACATGTGATTAAAGATCACACAAAAAGAAATAAAAATATCTCACTTTTATTAGAAATGTGATTAAAAAAATTAAAATGATTTTTTAATCACACTTAATTTAATGAGTGAGATAATATTTTTTTTAATCATACATTTTAAATAAGTGTGATTATATATATTTATTTTCATCATAGTTTCAGGTGTGGTTATATATAATTTTTCAATTTAATTTTTATATTAAATAATTATTCCCATATTGTATATAAGCTCATAAAATTGCTTTGGTAGAGAGAGAAAGAGCTGGGCAATTTCTTTCTAGGGTTTCTTGTGGCTCTCCATCTCGCCTCTGCCGCCAATGGCCATTGATCAACGCGCCTCTCCATCTTCCCTCTTGCTCCTCCTCCTTTCCTTGCTAATCGGCGCTGCCGCTGCTCTTGCTAGTCGCCGCCGTTGGCCTTTCCAGCGCTGCTTCTCTCTCTCTCTGGTTTATGTTTTCTAATTCACTATAAGTTCTTCAATTCCTTCCCCAACCCCATGAACTTTTGATATGCTAGTTGACCTTAACCAGTGCACTGCACTCTATGTAACCAATGAACCATTCAGTTTTCACAAATAGTCAACTCTCTCTCTTTCCATCCTTCCCCAAGTATTTATTCCCTTCAATTTTCTTCATATTTATTTGCTTTAGATTGCTTGAGATTTGTTTAAATTGCCTAAATTTTTTTTTAAAAAAATTGCTTGATTACTTATGTTAATTGCTTCAGATTTGTTGATTTATAGTATAATTTATGTTGAAATTTCTGTTCAAAATTGGTGAAACAATTTCTGTTTTTAAAAAAATAATTATTTTAAACAATTTGTTTCTGTAAACAAATTGTTGAAGGAGATTGAAGGAAGACCAATCTTACACTGCTTAGCTTGTAATTCTGTATTTATTGGTGAAACTCTGTGTGGCAGATGAGCATAATATGGTATCACCCAATACATTTCTACCATTCTTTAAACAAAACAAAACAAAATAATAATGATATTAGGCATTTATAATAAGATCACAAACTGTGAGGGAAATGGATAAGTTTGCACATGTTAACTTCTTATGAGCAACCAATAACTTTGGTCATGCCTGGATTTTCTGTGGTAGCCCAATTGTGTTGCTAATTCAACATGCCTCTTAACATATTTTAATTTGATGTTAATTATATTATAAGCAAACCAATAAATTGCATAATTAAACTGTAATTTTTATGATAATAATTTTGTGAAATTGCATATTATAAGCCAACCAACGCACAACACTTTGTTATGATTAGCTTGCTTTCTTTTCATTGTCAAGTGAAAATAATGATTCCCTGTATAGTTCTTGCTGGCCCTATTGGTCTTGGTTTTGGATATATGAGGCAAGTACTATATGCTGTAATTGCATTTTGATTTGTTAATAATTTTGGCGGTTATGCAATTCTTGTGCAAAGATCTTAGAACCAAGTTTAATCATTGCTGTCAGTGCAGAAGGAAATAACATCCTTCCCTTTGTTAGCCTTATTTTCTCTAGCATGCTCATTATTGCTGGTGTGAGTTATCCTCCAACATTTTTGGCTACTCACTATTTTACCTTCCAAATTCTTATTTTAAATCTGAAAAATGATCTTAGTAGATAGAGAATCTTGTTGTGTTAACACTCAAGAATGTGAATGTAACTACTATCTAATCATTATTACAGTGCTTTACATATGCTTTTGCAAGGCAATTAAATGCTTTCCAGACTGGTGATATGTTATTTGCCATGTAAGAGACTCTGTTTAAATGCTGTATATAGTTGCAAACTGTGTTCATGTTAATGTTTACTGCTTTTTTTAGGTGGAATTCTTATATCTTGTTGAGCTTCGCTTGGTGTTTTTCTACAGTGGGTTATCCAGGTTCTTTTCATTATCTTCTTTCTGTTATAGTGTTACATTATTCTTGTTCTGTATTGTGAATGGACATGTCATGTATGCTTTCAGGTCATAGTGCTTTGGAGAAGAGACTATTGTTGATTTAGTTATCATGGATGAGCATTTTAAAGGACAAAGATGTGCATGCGGTTACTTTCTAACACCTTCTAGATATTAGGCATTTATATTGTTGTGAAGTTGATAGCATGCTTATTAAATCTAGTGGTGATTACTGAACATACTCTGGATTCTGATTATTGTCTCCAACATCATCTTCTTTTCTTTTGTTCAGTTCTTCTCCCTGCTGTTGCTCGCAACAATCAATCTGGCCTTTGTACACATTGCCTCTTTTACTGATCTTTGTTTTTCATCTCTTATTCTTGGTGCTACTGCTGGTCTCTCATGTAAGTAATTGTTGCTAGCTACTTTTACTGGTGCAAGTGTCATTTTGGACTTTAGTTTGTAAGTTAGCTTTAGACATACTTCTATTGTGTCCGCTACTTTTGATTTTAGTGTAATGTTGTAATTTTTTTTTCAATGTGACATTTTCTGAATTAAACAGAAAAAAAGCAAGATATAATACACAACTCATATACAATTTGACAACTATTCCTTAGTAATTCACATATAATTTGATGCAAAGCTGAAAGCATATGTAGTGCATATGAATTATTTTTTGGGAGAATGGTAACACAGACAAGTGTATAGAATAGAAGTATGGAGCACATCATCATTCTGTTCTAATGAACTTTATACATTGAAACTTATATTACATTGTGCATTATTATCTGAGTGTATGGTTCAGATTTTGCACCAATATTATGTATACCAATTGGAACCTCGATTGTCCAATGTGCTGAGATGGAACTTGTTCTTCATTGTTGCTATGTGTTCTTTCTGAATCAAATATTTAGTATGGTATGATGTCACAGTAGATATACTTACGATATCTTCCTAAAAAAGTGATAAAGTATGACCCATGTGTACGACTATCCTTCATAGCAATCTTTAGGGTAAATTACAACGACACCCCCTCTATTTGTTTGAAATCACACTGTCACCCCCCTTGTTCCTTGAAATCAACACAAGTCAAATCTATTTAGTTAAAATGTCAAATAACTTTTATATCCTCATATGCCTTGGTAAACATTTCACCTAATCTATCCATAAATACGACCATGTTTGTTTTCTTTCTTTTTTTCAGAAAAAAAAAATTCAATTTCTTTTTTGAAAAAGTAGAAACTAATTTAATAAAAATAAATATCAAAATATATTTAAAAAATTATTTATGGCCTCCCAAACATAAAATTATATAAAAATGGTCAGTCTTTGTGTTCACATTAATGTTTCAAAAATGGATGTTCAAAAACTTTATTGATGTTAATTTATTCAGTGTTGATCTCATGTTCTTTAATGGTTTTGTCTGAAACAGACAGGGAATCTACTGCACATTGCCATTTTTAAAACAGACAGGGAATCATTGTTATTATTATTATTATTATTATTTTAACATCTCTGATTACATTCCTCATACAGTTATAGCCTTATAACTCCTCTTTTTTTCTTTTTTCTTTTTTCCTTCTGCAATGATGCTAAAACATGTCTTGTTTCTCATATTTTTAGATGAATTATGAGGACTTTTGCCACATTGCCTATTTGTGTACAGAACAAATAGGCCCTAAATGTCGACGCTTTTTCAGTTCGTCAAACTTCATGAAGTTCGAGAAAGATGAGTCAGGAAGAATTGCCATCCTGCCATTTTTCCTTTATGTCATGTGTATGGTGGGTCTTGCTTTTCTATGCATAACAATGTCTTGTTTTCTGTACGTGTCTAACATGTGTAATTAGATATTCACCCATAAAGTGTATTAAGTAATTTGAGTTAATAAGACCTGTTAATACCAAGGTGCCTAATTATTGCAAAAAATTATTATTGTAATTTTTTCTTTGATAAGTAACAACAGTAAAATGAGTAACACAAGTATATAGGAAAATAGAACTTAACCACCACCACCACCACTAACAGCATAAACTTCATATGCAAAAGAAAGGATTTAGAACAATAGATAAACAAAGAGTGACTGGTGTGAACTTCAACATAAAGACAACATGCAACATAGCATACAAATTTTATCGTTTTACATGTAGTTGGTGACATTAACAGCTGTCATTGAGCCACTTTGTTCTGAATTGATTCCCAAGGGTGTGTGCTTTGCTCTGAAACTTGATTGATTTTAGGATTTGATTGTGTGTTGTTTATTCGAGGAAGAAAAATAGAAAATGAATAAGAGAGCATGATCCTTCTTGTAACAAAACATCTCTGATAAATTACAATATTAATAAGTTGCCCATCAGTTCCAAATATTTTTTATATTATTGGCTTTACTTATGTAACGCCCTCAAAATAATAACATAAAACCCATCAATATAGACATGCATTGATATATAAAAGCTCCACTTTCTTCTATTCATCAGAGTTCCATTACCAAAAGTATTACATGTTAACAACAAAAGCAAATGCCCTAAAGGCTTACAGCTTTCCAAGTTAATACTTGGTTACAAAGAAAAGAGTGCTAACTCGATTACATATTAAGCCCTTGGCTTGAATTTACATGTAATACATTAAAAGAAGTAAGACAACAAAAGTTTGTCCGCCTCTAGCCTCCCAAGCTATGTCCTTGGAGGTGGCATGCTACCTGTACCTGAAAATGATATTCCCATATAGGGTGAGCCACAGCCCAGTAGAAATACACTAAACCAAATATGAACAATGACTAAAAGATTAGCAGTTGATAGATGGCCAACACTGATACTTTCCCTTATCACACTTTACGGTTTCATGACATACAAGTCCATGTTACAATCCATTTTCCAATTCCTTTTAATTCTCAATTTACAACCATGGCTCAGAACCTGGCCAAAAAACTCATATGAGACAGTAACTCATATTATGCACTTTCCCATTTCATAATAGATAAGCATACTAGCCATATCACACACCAACGATAAGCATACAAGCTATATCATCACTTCCATAGATATGCATAAGAGCACTATCACACTTCCAAAGACAAGCATATGAGCTCTGTCAACACATTAATAGATAAGCATATGAGCTCTATCTATGGAGTCCATCCCCTATCTCCTCCCAACAACATCCGGTTTAGAGGTCCATCCCCTATCTTCTCCTAAACCGTGGAGTACATCCCCTATCTCCTCCAACACAACACAATGCATATAAACAATAATTATACACATCATCACACAACACATAAATTTAATGTATTCTTTCAACCATCATACTCAATGACACATTCCAGTGATTAGTTTCAGTCTGCCTAATCATCATGTATTGTCTACAACAATCACGACTATCCTCCACCGATAGCCCAAAGCAGTTATTTCTATACATAAGATAAATGCAACAATGGATATATAATCAACATTTCAACTAGGTGAGCGATAAATAATCCAACTACACCCTTTAATTCCATACATTTCCAAATCAATTTCTCATTCCTCATCATTAATTATGCAAATTAATTAACCAATGTAATTAGGGCATATTCCATAATTAACATTACAACCCTTAGGTTCCATTTTCATTAATGTTTCAACATTAATTTCACTTTTCCATGCCAAACATGCATTTAGGGTTTATATAAATAAAAACCCCAACTTTTTGTAAAACTACACAAAGGCCCAAACTCTCTCAAAATTACCCAACAACCCCCAACATATCAAAATGCAAAAATTTAAGGACAAAGCTCATAGTAAGAAGTAGGTTATCCCTACCTCGAAGTTAGAGCTCGGATGGAGAAGAGACCAAAACCAAAGTGCTCCAAAGACCAAGATTTTCGGATCAAAACGACGCCCTCGACAATAAACATGACTTTTACAAAGGCCGAAGAGAAGGAGGGCACTCTAACTAGATCAAACCCTAGAGAGAAGGGAGTTTCTAGAGAGAGAGGCTCCCAAAAATGGTTTTTAGAAAAAGTAGGAGAGAGAAAGAAAAGCAAAAAGTGATTTAAAATCACCCAGCGAATAACTCATATACGTATGACCCGCTCGAGCAGAGAACACAACGCTCGAGTGCCAAGAACAAAAATCTGAACACGCTCGAGCGCAATAAGGCCCGCTCGAGCGCCAAGACACAAGAATAAAGCACTTCCGCTCGAGCGCGAAAACCAGTCCACTCGAGCGTAGATTTCCACCTCTCAGAACTAATACCCAGAAAGTACTACCCGCTCGAGCGCCACCAAACCCGCTCGAGCTCTACCACTCGAGCGTAAACAAACCCGCTTGAGCGTAAAAATCACATCTGCAGAAGTTTTGCAGGAACACGAAATACTGGAGGTGTGCAATCCCCGCTCGAGCGCAAGAAGACCCGCTCGAGCGGATCGCCTAAAAACTGAACAACTAGGAATTGAAACCAAGGCCTAACCAACCTGTAACAACCCTGCTCAAAACATCCTAAAACTCAATCAAATGGAATTAAAGGACGGCAACAAGATAGATACCACTACTAACTTCATGGAACCGAGTCCGGAATACAACAGAACAGTAAAGGGACAACCGGGATCACTATAACTTATGTCAAATAGAATATTGAAATATAGAAGTTGGAGAAAAGATGAGAGCATCTGCAATGAAGTGGCTAAAAATGTGTTTTATTGAGAATCTGTTTGACGTGGTTATGATTCATGTGATGATTGTCAACACGTATACTATGCTCCTTGTGGCAGGTTCTGATGAACTTAACAAATGACAACGCCGTGTGCTGTCAGCAAATTGCTGCCTGTGGAGGACGGGGGAAACCTTGTCTTCATTGATTGCTGGCCACTTTCCATCATTCAGTTCATCTTTGCCTTCCTTCAGCGATATAAGAAATGATACCTTGTTGTCCAAGTCTTAAGACATTTGAAAGGGTGTGATCGGTCAGACTTTATCTTTTGTAAGACTAGAACAATCTCTACAAATAGTTAGTTTATTCATATGCTTCTAACGATTTCTGAATTAATTTTTGTTTTCATTTTTCAGGTTAGAAATTCTTGGAGAGATGCAAAATATGGTCAAAGAATTCAAGAACTTAGTTTTTTAAGTTTTTTCATTTTTTAATATATGTAAGCATGGTTTAAAACTTTTTATTTAATTCATTTGTATATACTTTTGAACATATTTAATTTTCATTTATGAAATATATGACGTTATTCTATTCAATATGTGGTTGTGATTCAAATTATAGTATATAGTGTGTATTACATTCTTGAAATGCGCGTATAAAATAATATTGATTATTCTTCAAATGTGTTGATTTTTTTTTTATTATAGGTTTTATTAGTTATTAATCACTCTTAAAAGATGTGATTTAAATGTTATTAATCACACTTAAAATGTGTGATCTAAATGTTTTTAATCACACTTAAAAGGTGTGATCTAAATATTTTTAATCACACTTTAAAGATGTGATGAAAGCATTTTTTTAATAACACCTAAAAAGTGTGATTAAAAATGACCCCTTTTAATCACACTCCCAAAGACCACACTTTAATAAAACTTAAAAGGTGTGATTAAAAAACATACATCACACAAAAAAGGTGTGATCTTTATCTGTATTTGTAGTAGTGTTAGCATGCTTGCCATGAGGCTATGTGCTTAAATGCTAAACTACTTGAATGCCTGTGGATAAAGGCTTGTTTGAATTGGAACGATTCAACAAATGTATGTTTTAAGCCCACTTTGTTGAGTGTCAAATCATCATGTTTTAAGCCCACTATGTTTGGTGGCAAATCCGCAAACTTTAAGCCCACTTGAGGTGGAAAATTCAAACCATTTTCGCAAATAAACATGAGTTGAATTGTTCCAAATTGAGCAAATTAGTCTATACTTGCTTGTGCGCATCACATAGTAATGTTAGCTAATAACCAGAATAAGAACACATAATGTTTATAAAAACTAATATCATGATTAGTGGAGGCTGATTTTTAATTAGGCGAGCGGGGGTGCTCAATTCATGACCTTCCCCTCTCGTACCTAAGTTCCTGAGCCGATGCAACTTTGGTGATAACGGACAAGTGGCCTTTGGCACAAGTCAGGGTTTCCTAAATTTCCCCAAAAATAAAATATTTAGGTGGCGGCTCTGTATTTGGCAAAAAAGTCCAATTTTGGCATTATTTGATTTAAAAATCGATTTTCCAGAAAAGGTTTGCCAGATTTGGACTCTTTGATATTTATCAGTTTCACATTGCACTTTGTGAGACTAGATTCAGAACCGCGAGAGTCCGAACTGTGAGGCCTTTCTTTTCCATCCTTTCTGAAAGACGGGGCATGGAAAAAGGCTAGTCCACACTAGCCTGGAGTTTTGTTTTGTCAAGCCAATTACCGTGCCTCCCGAAGAGGTTCTAAAATGCTTCAAGTGGTCAAATTTGTGAACCAAGTCTAAGTCTATTATTTCCCTTTGTTTA